GACTCTTACGCTTCTTTCGAGCTTAGCAACCTCCCGCGTGCATCCATAACTCAATAGTGCACGCTATGGCGTTTACCATTTGTTAAATTGTTACTGTTGCTGTTACTGTTGCTGTTGCTATTGCTGTTGCTGTTGCTGTTGCTGTTGCTGTTGCTGTTGCTGTTGCTGTTGCTGTTACTGTTACTGTTACTGTTACTGTTAAAAAAATATATGTGACCTTAACACTGTACAATCCCTGAGCTTAGCGGAATAGGAGGGAAGGTCTAAACTTTTCATTTCCCTGCTTTTTACTTATGGTTCAAGTTTCGTCTTTAGTGGGTCCCACCCTTTTCCGTGCTTTCTCTGTTATAAATATATGACGTGGAAGTTGCAAAGTACTTCTTGCTTTTTCTTCGAGTTCTCATCACCTAGGTAATGACACTTCCCGCTTAATTTTTCCCTGCCTCGGGCACCTTTACTCGGGGTTGGCGGCTTCCCCTCCACGCCCTTCCCAACTTAATTAATTTCTGGGTTGTGTGCTGCTGTTTGAATCACCCTCAAGCTATTAATTTGCTTTGTTTCCAGAGCCAACAGTCACATGCTCGCCACAGTATATCATTGCTGAATTCAAAAGAAGCAATTATCCGGATCTTGAATCCTCAGAGATGCATCTAACAGATACAAGTTGCTCGGCCGAGTCCGAAAACGACACTTACATAACCTTCCACATTCCTTTCCGAAATTGCTCTACTGTCAGGGTACAGACACCTGACCACCTGGAGTACAGAAATGAGGTTATGCGTCGTATAACGCAGGGGGTAATTACGTACAAAATGGATATGAATTTTCCCATCACCTGCAGGTATGACCGGAATGTTACGTTGAACGACTTGGATATTGAAGTCGAAGAAGAGGAAGAAGAAACTGGTACGCACATAACACTTCCGTTTTTATGAGTCAGCAATAAAATCCCTAAAATTTGCTACCGCTAATAGATGTGTCGGCGCTTTACTTTGGCTCATTACCATGAAGTGACCGTCGGCAGCCATTCACCACTCAACTCCATCTAGTAAAATAAGCATAAATAACTCGTGAAAAGAGTTCTTTGAGAGTAACTAACTGTCTTGCTCAGAAACTGAATATTGCAAAAATAGCGAAAAGAGTACTTCAGAGATAAGGTTATTATTTTCATTGGTCAAAGCTGGATATTTGGGAGTTACCAGTGTCTTAACTTCTAAGTGNGGTCCCACCCTTTTCCGTGCTTTCTCTGTTATAAATATATGACGTGGAAGTTGCAAAGTACTTCTTGCTTTTTCTTCGAGTTCTCATCACCTAGGTAATGACACTTCCCGCTTAATTTTTCCCTGCCTCGGGCACCTTTACTCGGGGTTGGCGGCTTCCCCTCCACGCCCTTCCCAACTTAATTAATTTCTGGGTTGTGTGCTGCTGTTTGAATCACCCTCAAGCTATTAATTTGCTTTGTTTCCAGAGCCAACAGTCACATGCTCGCCACAGTATATCATTGCTGAATTCAAAAGAAGCAATTATCCGGATCTTGAATCCTCAGAGATGCATCTAACAGATACAAGTTGCTCGGCCGAGTCCGAAAACGACACTTACATAACCTTCCACATTCCTTTCCGAAATTGCTCTACTGTCAGGGTACAGACACCTGACCACCTGGAGTACAGAAATGAGGTTATGCGTCGTATAACGCAGGGGGTAATTACGTACAAAATGGATATGAATTTTCCCATCACCTGCAGGTATGACCGGAATGTTACATTGAACGACTTGGATATTGAAGTCGAAGAAGAGGAAGAAGAAACTGGTACGTACATAACACTTCCGTTTTTATGAGTCAGCAATAAAATCCCTAAAATTTTCTGCCGCTAATAGATGTGTCGGCGCTTTACTTTGGCTCATTATCATGAAGTGACCGTCGGCAGCCATTCATCACTCAACTCCATCTAGTAAAATAAGCATAAATAACTCATGAAAAGAGTTTTTTGAGAGTAACTAAGTGTCTTGCTCAGAAACTGAATATTGCAAAAATAGCGAAAAGAGTACTTCAAAGATAAGGTTATTATTTTCATTGGTCAAAGCTGGATATTTGGGAGTTATTAGTGTCTTAACTTCTAAGAGTTTAAAAATGGTGAAATACGAACTTATTGGCACCTTTTGTAAAATTTTATTTATTATATTTATTTATTAGTTATTATTTTCTAAATTTTATTTATAATTTTATTTATTTAGTTATTTATATGTTATGTCCAAGTAGCTATAGATATATTTTTATTGTTCTTGATCAGCTTTTTGTAATATTTTTAACGTGGGTGTGGTGTCTAACGACTTTACCAACGAAATCAAATGTAGATGTAGATGTAGAAGGAGTGTGGATGCAGCGTATTCAAAAAAAGAGCTGAAACTCGGCTATCCGAGAAAAATAAATTATCTTAATTTTGCAACTACCTCATACACAGCTTGTTCTCTCTTCCTTGTGTTCTAAATTCCCCAAAACTAAAAATAAAAAAAAACTACCTGAGACGTTTGACCGAGGTCCAAACAATGACCTGGGTCATGTGTGAGCCCAGATAGTCCGGCGAGATAGCGATATGCCACCGCGCCTCCATCTTGTCTTTCTCATTCTGCAGGTGATCTCCATTTATTTCATCTTTATACCTCAAAGAAAACAATTATCCAATTTAGTGAAGTTGATTAGGTCCATGATCTTCCTTTAGTGAGTCGCTAAGTTGCTTTCTCTTAAAGTATCTTTAATTTTCTATCCGCAGAAGAACCAACCGATTCAGGTGCCCGACTTCAACCTTGTCACTGGTTACTGGTTACTCTGTGGCTATCTGGAGCTTTTCTCTACCGGGCATCGATTGCTGGACGCGGGCAGTTCTGATGATCAGTTCAGCAGTTCTTGTAATGATCGAGTTTTCAGGTACAAATAGTTTGTTTTTTCAATCCTTCTTCGATGGTAAGAGTTTAATTTATTCACTCCCTCGCGCGCTAAGATTTGCCTGACCACGATGATGTAGAATTTTTTTCACCATTTTTCGGTGTTCTTGTTTTTGTTCTTAGTGGTTTCATGGCTGCTATGTCAACGTTTGATCACCATGATCACCTTCATCGTTATCATTATCGTCATCATCATCGTCGTTTTTATCCTCATTATAATCACATCGTTTTGGATCCTGTTTTCAAACAGAATCACATTGTGTACATGTGGCTACTGTTGTTATGGTAGTATAATTACACCCAATGAGAAATGCCTTTCGATCATTTTTTGAGAAATGCATCGTTATCACACAGGAAAAACCCAGGCCATAAGTTACAGACTCAAAAGGAGTTTCAAATTCACTTCCAAATTCACTATTGCAAGGAAGCTGAATCAAGAATCGAATGGCAAATCAGGAGTATGTCGCTTGACCTAATTTGTTACTGAATTCTGTGGTATTACCGCAATTTAACTACAAAAAGTAAACCAAAGTGTCAAAGACTGTAAGGTTGATTGAATGCTCTCGGCTTGATATTTAAGTTTAGACAGTCTGATCGAACAATGTGGAACAATGACTCGGTCAAATTCCATTATGTTGTAGTGCTGTAACTGAACTAAGTATTAGCCAATTATAATTTCAGTTAGAGCGATTTTCAATTAAGTGAAGTAAAACCAAAACCAAACCAATTGCTTGCCAATTAGACCTCTTGGCCAATCTCAAACCGTCCTTTATTCTTATACGTGAAGACTTAAGTCGAGTGTAATTACACCAAAGTAGACACTACACTTGGGTTGGCACCAACGCACTTTTTCTTCTTTCTTATAGGTGGCATCTCCGGAAAAGTTTGGAAATTCCTGGAATTGGCAAGAAATATCTGAGATGTCTTATAATGTAGCTGATTTGATAGGATTATTCACAAAACTTAGCAAAATCTAGAACAGTTTTTTTAAATCGTAAGTGTCTTATGGCATATGTAGGTCTGTAAAAAATTAGGCATTATTGACAGCGAAATGAAGCATCAAAGTAGATACAAGCCGAGGGAGGGGAGAGGGCGGAGAGAGTGAAAAGTGATCAAGTCTATGCTTATACGCTCTCGTAGTTTCCGTGCAACAATATCCAGTTTCATAACGGCAGACCATAATAGCAAGGTTCGTTTTCAGACCACAGCAGCTGCAATACTATATTCCTCGGTTTGGCATATATACCAGTATGGTTTTTACAGGACAATAGAAGACGAATCCTCTCGGGGTTATTTGCACTCCCTTGGCGCTTATTCGAATTTAAGATATCTCAGCCCTTTTCACAACTAACGTTTCTCATTAACATTGCAATGTAATTGCAAAGAAGATGAGATGAAATTTACAAACTGCTCGAAATTGCCTCACGAGCAAGCTGGGAGTTCTATTGTAATGTAATATTGGAATATAGATAAGAGAAGTTAACCGTTAAAATGGCTAAAGGGTGCTTTCATTCAAATGGCCATCAGCCATGCAAATTTATTGGGAAAAAATCACTCTCTATTTTCCAATTGCCCGTAATTTACTNTCCCCCAAATTTTGCATAAAGTATTGTTGTGAAATACTCCTGGGAGGTCTGCGTATTCCCAAGAGCATTTTCACAACAATAGTTTATGCAAAATGTTGGGGGCAACCAAAGTGAATTATGGGCAATTGGAAAATAGAGAATGGTCTCCGATTCATTCTTTCGGGACGCCAAAATGGCCGAAGTGACGTCATGTGAAAACTCTCTATTGCTGTGCGTCATAGTGTGCCCAGAAGTATATAGTTTAAAGTTCTGTTATTTTGTAGTTTGTGGACTAGTGTAAGCTAGTTTGCCGTTAGTTTTACAGTGCACGAATAAACTGCTGTTTTTATACTATTTGTGACAATATACAATGTAGATTTTCAGGTAAAAAGGCTGCAATAGGGTGGAGAAGATAAACCGGGAATCGTGATTTCTGAACTTGCCGGAAGCAGCGAGTAAGGGCAGCAAAAACGCTTGGACGCCATCAGGGAGGGAAACTTATTGAAAATGCGAGCTTGTCAGTAAGCGAGACCACTCTATCACCATCTCCGTTATGTCATTCCAATAGGTTTATTCCTGGGACCCACAAAAGTTTCCACGGAAAACTGTCGCACAGAATATAATTTAGCGGAAATGAGCTTCTTCCATAATTTACCTATATAGTATAAAGCTTATTTATGGGAGTACCCCCTGGGGTGTAGGGTATTCTTACCCCAGACTAAACTGCCTAAAAATCATACCCTTTACAGCGGTNCCTCCTCCTCGTCTCCGAGGAGAGGACTGTTTTTCAAGTCTTCTAAACTTCCGTGTCGGGAAATTTCATTAGTACTCTGGTTTGTTTTTAACACGCAGTTAAACTTTGAGAGTTGATAAAACGTGTATTCCCTTCACTAGTATAGTCAAAGCTATTGAAAGAAGTAGTAAATAAAAATTCCCCACACGATTTTTGCCTCATGTCGGGCAACAGTCTCCCAATTTCGATCAGCGACAAGCGTTGAAACTCGCCGAAATCGAACTCAAAATTTGCCCTTAACTTGCTAAAATTTTCGTTTCGAGATACGAAGAAAAATATACTTTGAAGCGTTCTTTCGGTGTAATGAGAGAAAAGCACAAGAAGCGTGAGAACGATGACCCATTGATCGATAAAGTGAAGGCTCATTTTAGTTTAACACAAGAGCTTGTCCATTTTATATACAAAGGAGTCTCAAATGTTGCTCCGGCGAGAGATATCCTTTGCAAGATCTGAATTCCACCACGCCTGGGCCCAGCTTAGTAAGAAAATAGTTTTTGTCTGTGTTTGTTCTTTTCGATTTTCAAAACGCCTTAGCTTAGAGATGCCGTAGAAAATGAAAGAGCGCAATCGTAAATGTAAGTAAGTGAGTAACTGAAGATCCTTTATTTAAACACGATGGGATAAAAGCATTACATGCTAGTACCTATAAGTGACCTACAAGTGAAACTGGATAAAATGTATCAAATGCGTAATCAGACTTGAAAGTAAAACCAATACAATACATGATATATATGCAGTTGGACCCCGCCAATAGCAGATTTGCACGTTGTCGTCATTTGACTACAACTACCAGAATTCCTTTCGTTTTCTCTTTGTTATTTAAATTTTGAATTCCCAGTGGGGTTTAAATAACAATTGCCCTAGTTAACGTAAGAAACAGAAAAAGTGAAGGATTTTGGTAGTTGTAGTTAAATGACGCCATCGTGCACTGATCGCCTATTCGAACTCGGTTATTTCGAATTTCTCGTTATTTCGAACTCATAATCATTTCCCTTGGATCTGTCCTTCAGTCATTTACTATCGGTTATCTGGTTATTTCGAACTCACGCTATATCGAGCGTATTTTTCGTTTTCCCTGAGTGTTCGAAATAGCGGGGTTCAACTTTACTTTTTTAATTAAAATAATTTAAAATTCAAAATCGGACATCTTCTTCACTACCGACTATGCGGATCGACGATTAGGTAGACAACGTAAAGGAAACTCACGCGATACACCTACAACAATCTACAAAAGGAGAACACTCAGAACAGTTCGTAGCCTACCAAACACAAACGTTTGATAACCGTACTACTCCGCCGTCTGTCCCCGGGCGGGGGGGGACTCCCATATATGAAGGATGGGGTTGCTGGTCGGAAATTTTGATAACAACCCCTAAGCGGTACTAAGATCTTGTTTTGTGGGTGTGGCTTGAAATTGCTAAAGCTCCTGCAGTGGGACCTTTTGAGGCTGAACACCTTTAGAGGCACCAAATCCTCTTTTTACCCCTAAAAGGTACGACGAGCACCCCTGTCCTTTTTATATGGACCCCCCCCGGAATCTGTCACCCGACTTTTTAATGTAAATTTACTTCTCGTGACAACTCGTCGACAGCTATCAATTCGAGGTAATTAATGCAAAGAAAATGTTTTTCATTTATACCTTTGCTTAGAATCCATTCAATCTTTTTCCGTGAAAGATCGCAATAAGATCTATCTGAAAAAGCGATTTTTTTTTTTTGAATCATTCTCAATTTTGGGGTATAGTTATACCTTAAAAACTGCTTCATTATTTCAAATGTAGAAAGACCACCGGGCAAACAAATAATATCTGATGAAAAGAAATATTTTGATGGAGGTGAACACCGTAAAAAAATATCATTAGAGAATACCGTAGAATGAAAATTAAAAATTCACCGCTCGATCTCCAAGCTTTGAGATTTTCTTAAAATTTCTAGCCCATCTCTAGTATAATCTTATGCTTCGCATACAGATTTCCAAAACTATGTAAACAAAAATCAAAAATGGAAAATTAACACAATTATAAATATAACACAAACAGCGGTGATAAACATTTTAAAAACATGCATTTTATGAACTTGACGTTTCGTATGCTAGCCAACATAAATTTCCAAAAGTATAACCGTTAAAATTTTTTGAAAAGCTATTTATACTATATCAATGGGGGTCTAGAACCTAGACAAAAAACATCTGCAGTAGCAATTTAAGACCTTTTAAACGGAAACTTTCTGCAGTGACACAATGGAAAAGCTTTCCTAATAAAGTAAAAGCTTTCACTGCTGACATAGACATTTTAACAGTTATACTTCTTCTATTTAACGAAGTCCTCAATATAACGAACGATATTCTATGTCCCGGCCAAAGTTACAGTAACGAATTCTTCGATATAACGAATATAATCCGGAGACCCATACGCAACATTTACCTCGATATAACGAATTACACTGTTTCCCTGTTTACATAGACAATTTTCTGTATAACCTCTACGTTGCGACATTTTTAAATCGCTACTCTGAAAGTGTCGTTCTTTTGTAAACAAAAGCTGCTCGTCTGCTCAGAAGTCAAAATAACTGATACTGAAAGCCACCATGCCTTAATTAATTGCATCTCAAAACGCGGCACTTCTGGGTGACGAAAATAGCATTGAATTGCGTGACAGAAGTCACCTGTGTTAAAATCAATCATTAACTATGACCTCGATATAACGAACATTTTAGTCGTTTCCCCTCAAATTCGTTATATCGAGGTTTTCGATATAACGAACCCTCGATTTAACGAACAAATTTGGCCGGTCCCCAGCGTCTTCGTTAAATCGAGGTTCTACTGTACAAAGAAGTTCGTAGAATAATATATATCAAAATACAAAGAAATCTCTACTGATGCATGTGGTTGCTAAGTTACACATGGAATCGCGCTCTTCGGATTGGCTGTTTGCAATCTCGTGTTTAGACTAATGAATATGCCTCCCCCAGACTCGATTATTTTCCTGAACAATCGCAGGGTGTGCCATCGTTTGAAAGAGTCGCTAATATAAGAGCGTATTCAGCAACACCGAAGCAGCGTCTAACCTTCTTTCGCAAAGCTCTTTGACAG